AAACTAGTACAGCCACTATGGAGAAAAATGTGAAGATTCCTTAAAAAACTGGAAACAGAACTGCCATATGACCCAGCAATCCCACTGCTGGACATACTCACCAAGGAAACCATAACTGAAAGAGACATATGTACACCAATGTTTATTGCGGCACTGTTTACAATAGCCAGGACATGGAAGCAACCTAGATGTCCATCGGCAGATGAATGGATAAGAAAGTTGTGGTGCATATACACAATGGAAAATTACTCAGCTATAGAAAAGAACGCATTTGAGTGAGTTCTAATGAGGTAGATGAAACTGGAGTCTATTATACAAAGTGAAGTAAGTCAGAAAGAAAAACATCAATACAGTATATTAATGCACATATATGGAATTTAGAAAGCTGGTAACAGTGACCCTGTATTCAAGACAGCAAAAGAGACACAGATGTAAAGAAAAGACTTTTGGACTCTGCGGGAGAAGGCAAAAGTGGGATAATTTGAGAGAATAGCAAGGAAATATGTATATTACCATATGTGAAATAGATGATCAGTCCAAGTTCGATGCATGAAGCAGGGAACTCAAAGCCGGTGCATTGGGACAACCTAGAGGAATGGGATGGGGGGGAAGTGGGAGGGGTGTTCAGGATGGGGGCACATGTACACCCATGGCTGATTCATGTCAATGTATGGCAAAAACCACCACAGTATTGTAAAGTAATTAGCCTCCAATTAAAATTAATTAATTAATTTTTTAAAAAGACAAGAAACAATAAATTTTCGAATCAATGTGACAATATCCATAAAATAACTTGCTGGGATTGTGATTGGAATTGCACTAAATTTCTACAGAGTACACTGGGAAAAAACTAGTATTTTGGTAATACTGAGTATTCCTATCATGAACATGCAATCTCTCTTGATTTATTTATTCTTTGATTTCATTCATCAGGGTTTTATAGTTTTTCACCTATTGAGGAAAACAACAGAGGTTTTGTACATGTTTTATTAGATTTATACTGAAGTTATTCATTTTTGGTGGTGTTAATGTAAACTGTTTTTTGTTTTGTTTTGTTTTTAACCTATCCCCGTGTTCATTTTTTGTATATAGGAAAGCAGTTACCTTTCATATACTAACCTTTATTCTGCCAACTTACCAACATCACTTATTAGTTCTAGGAGTTTTTTGGTCAACTCTTTATTTTCTACATCGATGATCATGTCATCTGTGAACAAAGACAATTTTATGTCTTCCTTCATAATCTGTACACCTCTTATTTCCTTGCTTTGCCTTATTGCATTATCAAGGGCTTAAAGCCCAATACTGAAGTGATAATAATGGGGGACATCCTTGCCTTTTTTTTAATCTTAGTGCAAAAACTGAGTTTCTCTCCATTAAGTATGACATTAGCTATCGATTTTTTACAGATAATCTTTAACAAGTCAAGCAAGTTCTCCTCTATTCCTAGATTATTGAGTTTTTATCATGCGTGCCCTCTGGATTTTGTCAAAAGCTTTTCTGCATGTATGTATACGTGTTTATTTTTTCTCCTTTTTAGTCTTGAATGGATTATATTAATTGATTCTCAAATGTTAAACTAGCCTCACATAACTGAGACAAACTCCATTTTGGTCATGGTATATAATTATTTTTATACTTTTTTGAATTTAATTTACTAATATTTTGTTGAGAATCTCTGACACAATTTTTATCATATATCTACTACAGACATTTTTGGATCCTAACAAATTTAAGCTATTAATTAGTCTTATCTAAGTGTGTTTTTTATACATGGATACACCACAGCAGACCTGAGAGAATGGATGGTGAATGGTAAAGACTGAACTTACACTTCTTCTTTATACCCTAGTGACCCCATCACTCAATAAGTGTTTCCAGTTTACGTTTTTCTTTTTAATTTGATATAATTCATTATATTCATTCATTCAACAGATTCTACAGCAAAGAGAGATTTCTAAGGAGGAAGGGTGTATCAATGGGGTTTCAGCTTATTATAAGAAAACTATTAGTGCATAAGAGAAAGTCACTCAGTCGTGTCCAACTCTACACAACCCCATGGACTATACAGTCCATGGAGTTCTCCAGGCCAGAATACTGGAGTGGGTAGCCTTTCCCTTCTCCAGGGGATCTTCCCAACTCAGGGATAGAATCCAGGTCTCCCGCACTGCAGGAGAATTCTTTACCAGCTGAGTCACCGGGGAAGCCCAGGAATACTCAAGTGGGTAGCCTGTCCCGTCTCCAGCAGATCTTCCTGACTCAGGAATTGAACCAGGTTCTGCATTGCATGTGGATTCTTTAACAGTTGAGCTACCAGAGAAGCCCATTTCTGAATTCAAAGTTCACACAGTTTTCACTGCATCTATGATGGCTTCATGAAATTTGTAGAACAGATTCAAAACACAGTATTTGAAAAAGCTGTTTCCTATCTCTTAGGGGAAACTATCCCAAACCCACTTGATTATATCACGGTCTGTAAAACATATACAGCAAATGAGATAAAAGAACAAACAAATCCTAGAAATAATTTTAAATCATTTTATTTTTTCATTGTCAATTCATTCCTAAATATTTTTTTCTTTGTTGGTTCTCAGAAGTAATACTATCAAAATCTCTGGGTACACATAAAACCATTTATTATTATTAACGGTTTTCAAAATATTATCATGTTTGAAATAGCATCCTTTTCAGAAAAAGTGAACATTTCTTATTATTTTCATGGGGTTATTAGTAAGATATTGGGGGTTTTATCAAGAAGTTAATTTTCTGGTTATTCTTTTTTATTGTAAAGTGAAGAAACAGGGTGTAGAGAATAATTTTCAACATTGAATAGAAACAAAGAAGCCAGTGAGTTGTGAATGCAGATACTGAGTAAAGGTAGAAGGCAGTAACTCATATAAATGTCTTTTTTCTGGTCTTGAAACTGATGTATTACAATGATAATCTGAGGTGCACTATAATGTAGGATTTAAAGGAAGTGATAGCTTTACAGATATACATTATCCTCTGAATTTATAAACATTTAAATAATACAAGCATCACAGTGATAGAAAACAGGTGCACTGGCACAAAAATGAAACTGTAATGTAGTGTTCTGTCAGATATCCGAGTCATTTCCAGAGTTTTCAAATTTCTTTCAGTATAAGTTGTGTCCGTGCTAAGTCACTGCAGTTGTATCTTACTCTTTGTGACACCATGGGCTGTATCCTGCCAGGTTTCTCTGTCCACGGGGTTCTGAAGGCAAGAATACTGGAGTGGTTTGCCATGTCCTCCACCAGGGGATCTTCCCAACCCAGGGACAGGATCCACGTCTCTTATATCTCCTTCATTGGCAGGTGGGTTCTTTACCAAAAGTACCATCTGGGAAGCCCAGCGTAAGTTAGGTAAACTTTAAAGTTACAAAATAACTGTCATTTGTCAAAAACAGAAATGTAAAATATTCAGGGGGTATTTTTTTTTAAGGATCCACATCAGCACCATGATCTAAAAACTACAATGTTTATGACCAAACCGAATATTTGTTCCATTCCTTTGAGACACTATTGGCTGGCAGCCTCTGCTTTGCAGAATGGATAGATTGGTTTTAGCTCCACTCTGGTGGTTAGGCCAGATAGCTACACTGATGTATTTAATTACATGGTTTTAAAATTCTGTTTATGCCTTCAGAGAAAAGTAATGTAATTATAATTTAAGTTAGTTTCTTCTTTTTTGTTGCTAGGAACACAAATCTACACAAGAAGAGGCGATCCTAGTGTTTTGTTTGGCTTTTGTTTGAACATGTATCCTTGAATTTGTTTGCTCCCAGACAGAGTTTGATAGCAGCAACTTGGGTTGGCAGAAGAACCAATCTGGGGTCTGGGAGTCAGAGTTTGAAGCAGAGTTCGTCCCCCTACGGGCTGAGAGACTAAGGATAAATAGCTGGGCCTATTGTGCTCAATTTGTCATCTGTTTCCTGTATATATTAATACCTTCTTGACAGGACTGAGATAAATTTTAAATGATTTGGATGTGACCATTCCTCTTATGTGGGCTTCCCTGGCGGCTCAGTGGTAAAGAATCTGCCTACCAATGCAGGAGACACAGGTTTGAAGATCCAAGGGATCTTCCCAGCCCAGGGATCAAACCCAGGTCTTGATCAGCTCTCTCAAGAAGATTCCCTGGAGAAGGAAATGGTAACCCATTTCCATTCCTTGGAAATCCCAAGGACAGAAGACCCTGGTGGGCTTTAGTCCATAGGGTCACAAAAGAGTTGGACACAACCTACTGACTGACAGGTTGAGCGTTCCAGCCTGACCGGACCCCCATGGAGGGCGGGCCATAAAAGCCCTCGCTTTGTTCCTCTTTGTTCCAAGCCCGCGCTTTCTTCCTTATATGGACGGTCCAATCGGATATCGACACGGAGCCCAAGGACACTGACTACTGTCGAAGTCAGCACCTTTTTCGAAAGACCCCGCCTAAGCGCCTGCCCTGGCTATAAAACCTTTCCCCACCCCCCATACCTCGCAGACTCCCTTTGTCTCCTCGCTCACTGGGAGTTCTGCCCGAGAGCGACTGCCCAATAAAGGCCTACACCAACGGTCCTTACACGTGGCTCTTTCTTCCCGCGGCGTTTTCTAACACTGACTTAAATAACAATTCTTATGCAGGAAATGACTCAGGAATTTTGCTTTTGTTTTCTGTTCATGTTGGGGAGTGGGGCAAACAGGCATTATTTTGTATTGCATTTTCTCCTATTTGTCTGTGAATATGTGTTTGAATGCCTGCCTCATTATTATTGTTCAACACTACAGAGAACACATCATGTGTTTCCTGTATATAAGGTATGAACTCCTGTTCTATCAACATTCTTTATATCTGAGACCCTCCAGGAACTGTGATGTAGCTATCCTGCAAGGGAGAGGACGTGTCCCTCTGCCACCATCACAGGAGATATGGTTCTGCTTCTGCAGTTTCTGCCATTTTTATGGAAACCTTTACGCCCTCAGGGTGGGGTGACCTACCTCAGGTAGGTGACCCCTCCTCCTTCTCCATTCCGGTGGGCATCTGCGGCGCGGCCCGGCTTATCCAGGCGTATTCGTGCAGGTCGGGCAGATCCTCACAGCGGAAAACGGGCAGCGGCTTCGAGGCGTCTAGCGCCCGCGCCCGAAACGACAGTTTACTCATCTCAGGCGGGGCAGACGCCTCTCCGCTCTGGGGAAACGGCCCCGGCCAGCGGGATCGTGGAGAACCGGGGGTTCGGTCCCCACTCGCCCACCGCTGCGGGTACTGGAGGGGCGGAGCGCGGAGGTCGCCGTCCGGGCGCTCAGAGCCGCCTGGAGGTGGGAGGCAGAGACGCTCCGCTCCTCTCTCGCTCGCTCTCCTCAATATGCCGTGGCCAACGCGGCAGACATTAAAACTCCACTGTGCGCTCTTCGGCCAACCCCAGCCGTTCCCCACACTGCAGCGCGCAAGCACTAGCAAGTTCCTGACCCTGTGCTCTATCCTGTGAATCTCAAGACAAATGAGATAGAGAATCTATATATAAGGATCACAGTGTACTGGATTAGAAAGTCACATTACCAATCTTCTGTGATTAATGATGGAAGGAGAAACTGGGCATTGGTGATTACAATGGAGAAAAGAACTAGCTATAACCCAGCTGGGCTAGGTAGACAAAATTAGAGAAAGCAGCTCTGTATTAGAACAAGGGGAGATGAAAGGAATTCCCTCTGCTTTTCTAAGTTATTCCCTTTATCGGATTTTTAAAAGGTGGATATCATTACCTGGCTCCATTTCTAGTCTCTTTCCCATTTTATCAAGGTTTCTTTCTCTTCCTCTTAATCTCTCATATTCGTTTCCCACTAGAGACCTATATATAGTCTTATCTGTGCAGTGGCAATGATCTGGAGGTCTACTAACTAATAATTTCATTAATTGTCATGATATTTTTCATAAAAAATAATATACAAATGACAATCATTATGTCAATTTTACATATGTAAAATTTAAGTCACAAAGAATGAGACAGATTTTACTAGGGTTACACAGAATATGGAGGAGTCAAGATGGGAATGCATGAAACCCCAGAACTGCATCCTTAGATGAGTATTTCATATCATACATAGTCACCCTGAACTTCATTAATAGACTTATTATCAAAACAGAAAATGTCAGATTTCATCTAGACATATCTTAACCATATTCATGTTATAGGATATTGCATTATAAATTTTAAAATAATTCTAAAGATTGGAACATATAATATTTTACATTTTCAGTTTTTATAATATCATTATCATTCACTAAATTTGTAATACTGTGAAACAAAAAATGCATTTCTTAGGTTGAGCCTGTGAGTTTGTGTGTTTGTTCATATGCATGTGTGTGCAATGTTTAGTCTGATTATAATGACAGTTTGAATGCTTGGTGAGTCTATAGAGATTGGCAGTAATTAGCATGGCAGACAAAAGGAGCAAATGTAGTCCACTTATGCCTCAGGCTGAACTAATTTTAGTGTTAAGTATGAATCTAATATCCATAAATAGGAAATAGTTATTAAAAGGTATTGACTCAGAATCATATTTGTAGTTTTATAGCAAAGGTAAGAACTGCCTAGCTTCAGTAAGACCACGGGTTTTGTTAAAGACAACATTATGAAAATATTGTCTGGATATAACTCTGCTAGGAAAATAAGTGTCTAACAATCCATGGACATAAAATTTGAGCTTATCATTTCTGTTAAATGTTAATGTTTTTGGTACAACATGTACTCAATTAGGGAGTAAATTTTACAGATCAATTGAAAATAGGATCTTTATGCAATATACATATATGTTTACAGACTACATCGCTCTGCCTCCAAGATGAAATTAATTTGCTTCTGGCTTTAAATAAAACAGATAGTACCTCAGTGTAGAGAAAGCTGAACAGACTCAAGTTTTGATAGTATCAGTTGAACTAGAGATTTGGGAATTTGACTCCAGTGATTTTTTAGGATCTCTCAGTCACTGTCATGTCATTAGAATATCACAAGAAAAATTCTGTCATGTCACTTCTAGATTTTCAGAGAACTATGGAAACAGCAGTAAATCTGACTCTCCTTCAACATATCCTAGTCCTATACCCTTTCCACAACTGTACTGTTGGAACGTGACACGTGTAAAGAGATAAGTCAAAGGACATGTAGTGCCACATGAGCATGGTCACCTTGGGATCAACAAAGTATACATGAGACCTTAAGTAAGTCATCTAACCTCTCAGAATTTAGTCATTGTAACCGTAGAGGTAATACAGACCTGACCACATCACAAGACTATTTAAGTATCTTATTGATTGCTGACTATTAAAACAGGTCAATAATACTGTCTAAAATACACTTTTAAAAATAATATTAACAATGAGCATGTGCTATAAAAACTAATTAGGGCTAATAAACAATTTCAGCAATATTGCAAGATGTAAGATCAAACACAAAATCAATCGTAGAGCTATGTACTAGTAACATGTAAAAGTGTAATTAAGCAAATAAGTCTATTTATCATAGCAACAAAAGGAATAACATATTTAAAAATAGATTAAATGAAAAATCTGTACACTGAAAACTATAGAACATTGAGGAGGACATAAATCATTAAGTTAATGCAAATCAAAATCACAATGGGGTACTATTTCACACCCAGTATTGCAACTAAAATGAAAAAATAAAAAGGAAAATAAGATGTGTTGATGAGAATACAGATAAATCAGAACCATCATAATCTTTGGAAAACACCTGGGCAGTTCATAAAAGAGTTAAACAGTGTTACTATACTGTCCAAGAATTTCACTCCTAGATTTGTACTCTCCAAAACTGAAAACTGTATTTACAAAATAGCTGTAAGTGAATGTCCATTGTAGCATTATCTATAATAGCTAAAAAAGGACAAGCTACCCAAATGATGAACCCAACTGATAAACTGAAAACAAATGTAATAAACCTGTACAGTAGAATATTATTTAATAATAAAATGAATGAGCACAGATATATGCTACCACAGGGATAAATCTTGGAAAGGTTATGCTTTTTAAAGGAAAAAAGAGTCAGAAACAAAAGGTCATAGAGTGCATGATTCTACTGCTAAGAAATATCCAGGATACGTAAATTCATTGAGATGTTCTTTCACTGAAAGTAAATTTAATGGTTGTTAAAGGATGAAGTGGGGAATAGAGACAGAATGCTAATGGGTATGGAGTTTCTTTTTAGAGTGATTAAAAAAGTTCCAAAATTAGAGAGTGATGATGGTTTTAAATCTCTGTAAATATACTAAAAACCACTGAATTTTCTGCTCTAAAAGACGTGTTTATGGAATATGAATTACATATCAATAAAACAATAATAATAAGTAGGCATTCCAGTAACGCATTCAAGGCAAGAAAGACAGAGTTTGCTACAACACATGAAATTCTTTTTGTTAACTGAAGTTGAAGACAAAGGTTAACATTTAAACCTTTTCTGGGATGAGGAAATATTTCTTTAAACAATAAGTTTGTTCAGACAGGTAAACATTTTGGGGGACCAGGGAAGCCTGAAGACTGAGTGTCCATTAAGGTAAGGTCCAGAAGTAAAAAGCTCTGGGCCACCTACAGGCAGCCTAAGACATTTGCCATCTTTGTGCAGAGGTAGACAGATTGATTAAAGAAAATAAGAAGATTCAGAAAACATATAAAAAGAAAGTATGAAAAAAACAGATTAGAAAATAGAATTCACCTTCATCAAATTTTGCCCAGATCTAACACTGCTCAGAAATGTAACCCTCACAAAATCACTCCCTATGCTTTAAGAAGCAGTGATTTTTAAAATATTATCTTTTTCTTAGTATGTCTTCCTTTGCATATTACAAACATCACACAACACATTTAGTTGGATTCTTTTAAGTTATGTCTTTTAAACTTGTCTCAAACTCTGCAAACAGATCTTTAATCTCATATGTATTAAAATTGTGGAATAATTACATAGGCATAAAAACTAAGGTAAAGAAAATTTACCATAATGTCCAGTTCATGATAAATTATTTGTTCTATACTTATGAGGCTCAGAGTACTCTTGTCAGAGGTAGTTGGAAGCAAAAATTTCCTTAGATCATTAATTCATCATAAGTTACACAAAATCATGTCATACTCCTATGTCTAATTTGAAGTAATAATATTATTTTAGAGCTATACTTTTACAGAGAAATGTCCACTTAGAGAAATGAACTTTTAGGTCATGTCTATATGACCATAAAGAGTGTAAAAAATTTTACTGTATCTGTGGGCTGTCTTAATTAACATTCTGCAAGTGGTAATACCAGGTCACTGCTCTTGGCATAGTCATAAAAATGTAACCCAGGAAGAAGAACTAACCATTATTATTTTTTTTATTCCCCAATAAGATTATGCTATGGTTACATGGTCCTAGCCTAACAAGCCAATTCAGTAGAACAATTAGTTAAGCTGTCGCAAAGGAAGTTGTTGATTATTAGTGAAAGGAGTATTTCACTTGAATTCAAACAAGCTTAGTCCCAGCGTTCGTCATTAAAATTTAATATGGTATTATATATAAGGAAGGCACTGATACACAGAAAGTTTCTCTTCTTCCCTCTGCCTCTCCTTCCTTCTTCCCCTTCCTCCTCTTTCCCTCCCTCCATTTTTTTTCCTTTCTCCCTCCCTCCTGCCTTCATCTTTCTTTTATCCAATAACTTTCAAAACTCCCTTTTCAGATTACTATTTAGAATGCTTCCTTAGAAGTATCACTGTTGTCATCTGACTATCTCTTAAAGGAGGCATGGACTATAAAGATTCAGTAATTCTTCAGAGTACAGTTTCAAGAGCCATCTAACAGAACTCCGTGTAATGACAGAAATGTTCTAAATATGCAGTCTGTGCGTTGTTACTACTGAGAATTTGAAGTGAGATTAGTGCAATTTGTGTGTGTGCATACTTAGTCAAGTCCGACTCTTTGCGACCCCGTGTGTCAGGAAGCATTTAACAAGAGGCTTCCAGTGTGCTGTTTTGGATCTGCCAGGAACCCTCTGGCCCTTATTAATTCCTGAATATTCAGGAATTAAGAGGAGAGGCAGGCCTTTCCCGGGGCTGAGGAATCCAGGCATTTCTCATTAGGGTGCTAAGTACCCTCTTCCTTTTTATGAGCCAAAAAAGGTGATTGTTTCCAACTCTCTCTTTGATAGGGGTCGTCTTATGTTTTGCAAGTCTGGAATTTTCATCTTTATCTTTGCTGAGAATAACCACCTTGTAGGACAATATATATGCACACACCATGTTGATTAAAACACCTTTGCTCCATCAGAGCTTGGGTCCCCGTGTCTTTCTTTCTACTCTTTCTTTCTCTCTCTATTTCTGGCTAATTCTTTGGAGCGGAGCGCAGAGTGAGCTGAGCTCACTTTCTTGCCCGGGCTTGGAAGCCCCTCTCTAGAAGGCGCGCTGCGC